GTAATATTATATTATTAAGATTTTGTGTTTTTCTCAAGTTGATATTACCACTTTTCAATTTTCCTAATTGAATAAGTTAATCTAGTCAATTTAAAATTTTAATTAATTGGCATCCAAAATAATAAAATAACTTCGATTCAAACTTAACTTTGCTTGTGGTTATAAAAATCTTTTATCCTTGTGCTTTTAAAAAAATTCCACTACTCTTTCCATCTCACTTTCATTAGACTTGTCAGGAATGTATTTTAATATTTTTCTAGGAAACAAAATTTTAAAATACTAAATACATAGATATACTGAATTTTCAATTAAGTTATTCAGTTCTAAAATAATTATTATTTGAAGCAAGGAATTATTTAAGATTAATACTTATTTATTTTGTTCAGATTTGTTTTATGGTCTAGCATCTAATTCAACTTGTTCTTGAAATTGATGTGTATTCCACTAACTTCCAATAGGTGGGTCTTGTTAATTATTCTCTTCAAATCTTTCATAGTTTTACTTATGATTTGTGTACCTGGTATTTTATTTATTCAGTGGAAACATTTCAAGCATCTTACCGTGCCAGTAGGAGATTTATTATTCAATTTTCAATTGTTGAATAAAAATGCTTGATATACACAATTTAAAGGAGAAAAAATTATTTGGCCTAATGGTTTCAGAGTTTCTGTTCAGCTGGCTCCAAGCAGAATCACTACAACAGAGGTGCATAGAGGAGGGAAGCTTCTCACTTCATGGCATCCAGCAAGCAGAGCAGGGAAGAGAACCCAAGAGGCAGAGCCTGAGGGTACACTTACCTTTCAAAGGTATGTTCTCCACTTTGGCCCCACCATCTCATATATCACTAATGAACTCATTAAAGCCATAACAATCTGCTCCTGGCCTTCAGCATCTCATGTTCACCTCAATGCAAAATACATCTTGTCTATTTCCCAGACTCTCCAAACTCTAAGAATTCTAGCATTGCTCAAATATCCAAATTCAAATTCTTCTCTGAGCATTAAGGCAAACTCTTAGATGTGAGACACTGTAAAAATTAAAAAAAAAACAGTTTACATAATGCCAAAATAAATGCCACAGGGTAAAGATTCCCATTCCAATGGGAGGAATAGGGAAATAGGAATCACAGCAAAGCAAGACTGAAATTTTGCAGGGTGAACATTAAGACCCACAGCTCTATGTCTAGTACCCAGGGCACATGGTGGCAAATGTGGCTTGCAAAGGGCTAGGGAAGCCCCATCTATATGGCCTTACCAGTTATAGCCCATGTGGCATTTATACTTGACTGACTCTGATCAATTAACGTAGCTTTCACTGGCATATTCCTGGCATCTCCAACTTCCTGGGGTGTTCACTGTACCTTCAACCTCCCTCTCCACAGCTCCACACATTACCCTCTCAGAGGCTCCTAGCAAGGTATTCAGCTCATGATATATTGCCAGGCCTTCCCCTGAAACCTGGGTGAAAGGCTCCATGAACTCATAACTCATGCTCTCTGTGTGTCTGTGAAACCAGCATCAGGTAATAGCTACAACTTCTGTATCCAGAATGCACAGCAACTGCAACTCCTTGGTCCACTTTCCAGGATGTCCTCTGAATGCCTGGATGCCTTAGCTTGGTGAAGTAAATCCCCTGGGAACCGATCTCTTGAGGAATTTGACCAGGGAGGCCAGTGGCTTTCTTCTCAAAAGAAAGGTTATCACTTTTATAACCTTGAGTCTGCAATGAGTAGAAATTTCCTTGAGGCATCTTTTTTATTGTTTTAGTGCAAAATGTTGGCTTTTTTTTTCTTATTAAGTTTATTGGTACATTTTAGGTATACAATACAGTTACATTCATCAAAGGGAACTTGGACCTTTACGTGATGTATCTTGGTTCTTATTTTTTCCCCCATTCCCAGGTCCTCCCCTCAATCCCTACACCCCTCCCTATTTACAAAGACTTTGTTTCCATTTTTTTTCTTTTAAGTCCTGTTCTATTGCTAAGCAACCAGTCAGATCAGGTCAGCAGTTCTCAGTTTTCATCTTGGATCTAAATCATTTTGAGAGGTGTTATAACACAGGTTACTTGAGCTTGCTTAGGAATTGTCTCATTTAGTGGATCTAGGATGCACATTCTCACTAAAATAAAAATATTTATCTATGGTTAAGATCTATCTAAGAAGATTCAAGTGATGTAATTATCCCATGACCAATCAAGGTCCCTCTGATTAGAAGAACCTTAAAAAGATGTTTCAAGTTTTTCACAAAGTGAGTGAAAGACATGAATCAATAGCCTATAGAGCATTGACATTATTTTTGGATCATCATGACTCTAGACAACAAATTACCTTTCCAAAAATGACTGTTTAGCTAATATGTCATGATTTAAAAGATTTCTTCTTGGTAGCCTGATTGAACTAAAAGAAATGACCTAACTCTTGGATTTTACAGGTTCTAAAAATTCCACAAATGCCAGAGATTCTGGGAGAATAAGGACTCTGTCCACTTGATCATACCATCTGTTTTTTAAAAATGATGCCTTTCTTTCCTATTCCACAGTAGAGTTAAATATTTTGGTTTCAGTTTTGTTTACTGACTAGATGATTTTGGAAATATATTTAACCAGTTTGCTTTGGAAAATTGAATGAGATGAAGGACATATGTATACTATTGAAATATGAATGGTATATCTGCGTAATCATGAGTCTCTTTGTCATCAGGCATCAAGGAATTAGGAAGGAGCATGGGATGATTTTGTGAATTATGGATCCATATCCTACTTCTGGAAAGGTAAATAGAGATGAAGGGGCTCACCTGGCAAGCCTTGGAGAATTCCCTGGCAGGCCTTGGAGAAATGATGGTTCTCTAGGAAAACACAGCCCTGCAGAGGAAGTCTGTGACTCACAGAGCCAGCCTTCCCTCTCACTTCTACTGTGTGATACTCATGGGCACAGGCTTTCTGCTTTAGGTACAAGAAAGAAAAACATTAGAGTCTAAGTACATTATGGTACAATGGAAGTGTTAGAAGATCTTGATGCTTCCTCATTCCCAGCCTATTTCTTAGCTGCTCAGTAACCTTTCAAGTTATTTCCTAACTCTTGACTTGATTTTCTTTTCTGAAAAGAGAGATTTGAGGCACCTAATGTGTTCAGTGCAGATTAAGTCAAAAGTTCATTAATTCATTGTCTTCTTTTGGGAAATTCTCTAACTCTAATTGGTGTTTGAGGGAAATCATCAAAAGTTTTGTGCTGGTTTAGACTAAGAGTTGAATGTAATGACTTTCCATCTCTAAAGAACAATTGCTTTGACTTTTTAAAGAAAAGAATATGTGTGCTCTCTATTCTTACTGTTATCCTTTCCCTCACAAGATTCATTTTTATGGTTTAATAATATTAAATTTGTTGTATTTGTTTATTTTGGTTTGTTTTTACTTAGGAGTCACCAACCATTTGAGCAGAGAATATACTCAAGATCTTTTCATGATGATCCAGGAAAATTCTCCGGAGAGGACATTGTCACATAAAAACCTCAAGTTGGACAGCCTATCCACATTAAATAGCTTCCCTCAGATTCTGAAACAATCTTACTCAAGAATATTGAACAAGATGAAAGCCAACATTAATGTATGTCACACTGTGCTGATTAAATCCTGAGCATGCATTTTTCTTAAATCAGTTAAAATAAACACTAAGCCACCTTGCTAATGAACTCATCAATGGGGTGAGCTACTGATGAAGTTAGTGGCCATAGTACACAAGCCACTGGAGCATATTACATATTTAAACCATAACCATGATTCAGAGTTGTTATTCAAAGCTAAGAAACACAAATCTCAAGTACCTGTCACTTTAACCATTTTACAGTGCTGTTTAGGGCATTTCTACCTGACAAATGGATTTTCTGTTTGAATTTTCAGTGGGACTGTGGCACTGTTAACCTTAGACCAAAAATCCCTGAGGAAGATCTTGCAGTTTCCTGCCTGGAGTCTGGAGACAGCCTTCAGAAATGTACTGGAGCACTGAGCACTCAGGTTATTAGGCTCAGGTAAAGTTTCAGGTTTTACGGGACAGTGTCATAGCTTTTATGGGACTTACTTTTGTTTTCTACTCTTTTTCTTTCAATCCATGTACTCATTCCCAATTCTATCACCCCTATTATTACAGGTACACATAGAACAACAATAAAAAGTCTGTTTCTTGGAATTATACAGCAATATTTCAGGGGTTACTTGGTGTGTGAAGTAGGAGAAGAGGGTTAGAAAGGGAAATAGAGACAGGGAGAATTCAACAGCCCACCAAAAAAATCCTTTTAGATCCTTGAGAGCAGAAAATGTACTTACATTTCATATCTCCTCTTGGTTACCAAAGATGATTTTACACACCAGGGACTCCATCCCTGATAAGTTAATCAGTGATAGCTGCATAACTGATTATTTTAAATTTGAAGTGCAAGATTTGTTTCTACAAATCTTGACTAGCAGTTCATTGGGTCCTTTTCTCTCCAACCTCCTGCTCTTCCCTATTAAGAGCATAAATTCTCCATTCTAGATAAAGATGTCCATGGACACTCAGATTCACACTCATTCATCCTCTTTCAACAGATCACACCCCACACTGGAGCATTCACCCAAGGTGTCCTTGTGGGCTTCTTCAGGTATCTCACAGTACCTTCTGCACCTTCATCCAAGGATATTGTCTTAGGCACAACACCACAGGCGCCCTTGTTTCTTCAAATTCTCTCAACAAAATTCACTCACCTTTCCTTTTAGGTCTACACAAAAATTACCACTTCATTCTGTTTGTTTGTTGTTGTTATTTCTTAACTTACAGGTCTCTTTTCCCATATTAGTAGGTTTCTTTTACACTACATCCCTCATATTGTGCTAATCCAAGAATCTCTACATCTTACACTATATTCCACACATGATATGAGCTATTGATAAGTTAATTAGTTTGTTTTCTTGACTAAGAAGTGAATTCTCCAATTACCTAGAGGCTGGACCACGATCTGTACACAGCCTCAAGGTTTCTTCAGGAAACCATTCATCCTTTCAGCAATCCTTTTAACAGCCTCCTTCACTTCCTTGTTACGAAGGGTATAAATAATTGGGTTGAAAAAAGGGATAAGAAAAGAGTACATCAAGGACATAACTTTGTCTCTGCCTTCAGCACGCACCACAGGTGGCCCCACATACACAATCCAGGCAGAACCAAAGAACAATATCACAACTATGACATGAGAGGAGCAGATAGAGAAGGCCTTGGCACGAGTGACAGCTGAGGGCAGTTTCAGCACAGCTTTCACAATGCCTGCATAGAATCCTAAAATGATAACAAGAGGGCATGTATTCAAGAAGCCAACCATCACAATAAAGACCTGAGCACGCCAGCCTGTGTCCACACAAGACAACCGCATTAGGGGTTCCAGGTCACAGAAGTAATGGGCTACCTCTCTCAAGCAGTAGGGCAAAGTAGCAGTGAGGCTGATTGACACAAGTGCACCTGAGAAGCCAATCATCCCTGTGGCCCCTGCTAACCATTTCTGTACCTGTGTGGTCATGAGCGCATGGTAGTGGAGTGGGTGACAGATGGCAAGGTAGCGGTCTGGTGCCATGACATACAACAGGTAGCACTCACTCATGCCCAAGGAATGGAAGACATACAACTGTGTGAAGCACAGGGCTGAGGAGATGGGTGAACTCCCATGGAGCAAGGTGTGCAGCAGGGTGGACACTGTTGTGCTGACATACCAGAGCTCTAGGAAGGAGAGCACACTGATAAAGAAGTACATGGGTGTGGAGAGCCCAGAATCTGCCTTAACCAGCACAATGATGAACAAGTTCCCTGCAAGGGTGAGAAGGTATATGCACAGGGTTCCTGTGAAAGCCAATTTTCGTAGCATCCCAGAGATATTGAAACCAGCAAGGATGAATGTCTGGGTCCAGGTATGGTTGAAATGATCCATGATCCCTCAGAAGCAGGAGGTAAAGGCAGAAGAAGAGTCTCTTCAGGATATCTTCCCTTACACAATTTCTTCAGTACCAAAGAACACAAAAGCATAAAGATTACCAATCAACATTTTCCCAGTTCAAAAGAAGAACTAAGTACTACAAGACAAAAATAGTTTGCTCCATAATACTCTGTTGCTGACCGAGATGGAGGGAGATTCAGGTTCCTACCTTACAGACCAGACCTTATCCTACTGTTTAATGCAGAATCTTGGTCCCCAGAATTTTCTCTCACTCTTTCTTCCAGGGAAGAAAAGTCAGGAAAATTCCCATGCTCAGTCTTCTATATTCTCAAGTGAAATATTTCATGGTAATTTCAGGTACTCTCCATTACCATATACTTTAATTCAACAACCGGCCATACTATATTGGGGAAAAGAAGACATATGTTTTCTAGAATTACTGCTTAGGTTGCTTTAGGGGGCATTCTGGGAAATCAGCAATGTCGTCACTGAAAGTTGAAGAAAGAAATGTTAGAGACAAAAGAAATGTGGATATTCTGCGATCAATCATCAAAACTTAGAATTATAAAATGGGTTGATTGATCAATAAGTAGACAGGGTATACTGGCCAGAAGGATCTAGAAAGGAGACATGCATCCATAAGTATAAAGCAGTTAAGGAGAGGAGAGAATCAACAAAGTCCATGTTTTGTAGATCAAGGAGGACTATAGCATAACAAAGCACACCTTAGTTGACAATTGGCTTTGTAAAATATTTTAACAATAGCACAGAATAAACATTGAGTCTGACCATTTCTCTACTCTTTACCTCAACTTCTTCTTCCTCAAAATGAGGAAATTTATTGGGTTTTTGCAAACTCCCTTGTAAATCTGTCCATGAATTTCTAAAGTAATCAAAAGAGGCTTGTCAGATGACTCTGGAGATGAGTGGTCTACATCTGTGTTTCTAGAGTTTTCTTGCCACAGCCCAATACACTATACTCAGGAAAGGCAGAAGCCACTCCTACTTCTCTTCTTCAGGTATTCTTATCTCTTCTTCACCACCCCTGGCAATTGCTTGACCAATGACAACAGAACATGTATCCTCCATGGCCTCCTTCTGCCCTAAAACACTATCCTCATTATGTTTCATGTTCCAGGAAATGTGGCTCTCCCAGGGCTCCATATTCCTGGAGTTGTAAAAAACAACTCTCAATATAGATCTCTCTGGGGCAGGAAGTTAAGCAGAGAGAATTAAAGTGGAAAAGCTATATTTTGCAAATCACTTTTCTTCATGCTGCAAACTTCATTTTGGGGTTGCAGAATCCCATCCCAGGAATATTGTTTCCTCTAGGACATGCTAAACTTTTCAGTTATCATAGAGTTTTCCATTAAAAAGACAGTCCACATTGTATAACTTTGTGCATGCATGAACAAACCCTTAGACAACCAAGAAATGAACATCATTTAAAAAATACTCTTTGCAAGAAGATTTCTCACCCATCACTATACACTTCATTGCCCCTTGAGCACATTTCACAAGAGTACCATCATTAATTTTCTGCTGATCATCTCTACCTGCATTTGCCTACCACCACTCTTTCTCCATAGGACCCTCTGTCATTTATTTATTTTTCCAGTCATTGCTTATTAAATATCTAAACATGGTTCTTGGTGCAGTGTTCTAATTTTCCATCAGGAAGATTCTTATCAATGGTGATGTTACCGTCAGTATTATTTCAATGATATTCATCCTCTTGAGAGTAACTTTTACATGATTGCATTCATTTATATCCATACCCTCAATAGTTTATTGAAAGTCCTTATGTTAATATCTGAGCTCAGTACTGTCTCTGAGTGTGGATTTGGATGGATATGGAATGCAGAGAAACTATAATAAGACCATTCATCTGCAGAAGTACAGTATGCATAGATTCAGTTGTACCTTTGCATTCAGAGACTGATGTGGGCACAAGGAAGTTCCTCAGTTTAATTTAAACTAGGAAGTAGCCATAAAACCTTAATAAAGAGATCATTGTACATACAAAGAATACATTGACTATCCTGAAATTAAATTGGAATAGCTTAATTTGACAGGTAGAGATTTTTGAGCCAGATGAAAAAAGAATATTTGTTTCTTAAAGTGCTAATGTAACTTCATATTGGGAAGCATCTCTAGAGTATTTGTTAAATTTGAGTCTCATTCAGTCTTACCCAACATTTAGCTAATAGCCTACTTCCCCTGGAAACCCGGCTATTCTCTGGAACACATATTTGCATTACCCTTCTCTCCATTACTGAAACTCTCAAATTCTCAAACATCATGTCATCCCTTATCTTCATCCTTATTTTAGGATTGGGACAGATTAGTGATCTGTCTAGACTCTTTAAATGCATCCTTAGGCTATACTCAGAGTGGCTCTGTTTTATTCCTTCATATGGTCGCACCATCTTTGTACTTGAACATTCCTTTTGTGGGAGCCAGATTTCAAAACACACTCTCCACATCATTTGTATATCTGGCTATCATTGTCTATTTGTGTGTCTGAATGTATCATATTAACTCTATTGTTTATAATGCCCAGCACTGTGCCCTCAGCAGACTATTCATCTGACATAAATTCCTGAGCACAGGAATCATGGACGTCATGTGGAATCACTTGAAGCAGAATGATTACTAAAGAATTTAGTTTTCCAAGTAAGGTTCTGGTATAGTCACTGCCTCTCAGTGGCAAAAATTATTATGTTCTGGCCTCGGTGGAGAATATTTCTTAGTGTTTACTCTGTTTCAGGAGTGAGGTAAGAAAAAAAGAACATATTCCAATAACATGACATAAATAATTATTTGAGAAAAAATATTACATCTACAGTGACCTATGTTAAAATTTTAGAGAACCAAAAGCAGGATTCAACACATTCACAACTTCACCATATCATTGCTAGTATTTGAGAAAATAGCATGTGTTGTTTAGAAACTAAAAATAAATACATTAATAACTTTTACAGTTGTAAAGTTATAATTAATTTTAAGATTTTCCTCTTGTAAACATTTCTATTGTGCTATATTCATATGTAAAACTTTTAAAAGCTCGATTTAAGGGTGAGAAAAAATAACATCACATGCAATTAAAATGATATGAGAAAGAAATTCAAAATTCTTTCTTTATTTATTTACTTAATACAAATTCTAAATATCGTTTTTTTCTCCATATCTTATTCTAGGTCCTTGGATGAGATGTACAAAATACTGTTTATTATTTTAAGATATTTACTGTGTGGTGGGAGAGGGGAGATAGACCTTCAAAAATGCTAACAATATAAAAACATATGTTTCTTTCAACTTAAAGCAAAATGTTTACCTCAAATATAGATTTGAATATTAAAACTACAGGACAGCTAATGTCTCAGGTTTCACATTAACAAATATTTAAGAATTTATGCAAACACAATGGAAATTGTTATAGAGAAATACATTTTCATTCTTTGTGGTCAGAGAGCTAAAGAATGTAATTACTTCTGAAGAGATTTTAGGAATATTTACCAAAGTTATTTGTACTATGACCCAGGGTTCCCACTTGTAGAAATTTATATGTAATATTCAGGACAGGATGCGTATACAAAGTTATTCTCTCCAGTGATAGTTTTAGCCAAAAAAGAACTAACATAACAGTCCTTTCACAGAGTGCTAGTGAAATTAAAGATGCCATGGAATACCAAGGGGCTATTATTTTATAGTGAATGTGTGCTCTCCATAAGAAAATAGAACTATCTCCAACATTTATTATTATGAAATGGGAATAGAGGATAAACTAAAGTATATGGTGTGGGGCTTAATCCATAAGATTGTGAGATTAAAAATATTGATCCTTTCTGGGTTTTACAAAACAAACATGGTGATTATACAAGAAAACAATTGAAGGCCATGTCTACCAGGGCTAGGTAGGTAATGCACAGGATCTTATAGGTCAGAGTCAGAGCAAGATTTGTTTCTATAAATCCTTTTATGTTACATTAATTTTTGGACCCTCAAAGTGAATTATTTATTTAGAAAAATGAAATTATTTTTGTAAAACTGTATGAATGTGCAGTGATATTTTGTGGTCTTTTGTCAATGCTTGTGTAAGACAGCCATCATTTCTACCTGACATCCTAGGAGTTTATTAACTGCCCCTCCTTTTCCTCCCTTATATACTTTGTTTGGAATACAAACTACATAAATATGTCATGTGATGGAATGTTAGCCTGAATGCTAACACAACTTAAATAGTATGATTGTTCTGCCTTTTGTCCCTTGCTTCTTTTGTCCTTCCACCTATTTAGTGTTCATATGTCAATAAGGGAGGAATGGCCAAGAGTTACCTTGGTTTTCACTCCAACATTTCATGCATTAAGCTCTACTTTACCTACATCATAGCACTTACAAGTGATGATATTTATAGGGCAAAGTAAGGTGAACAGAAAAGGTGCTGTCTAGTAAAGCCCTTCCTACAACAAGAACTCCAACTTTAGCTGACCATTCATTAGGTAGCTGGGAGAGTGAGGACTCAGGCACTCAGCATACATGCTAGTTGTATATTTTGAGAATCTCTGTGCTACAGATGACCTAAACTGTATATTGTGAAGGGAGAGAACTAAGGAGGTTTCAAGAGAGAAAAATTATAGAATGCATGCAAGGGAAGTTTAGAGTTATGGATGGATGTATGAACATAATTTTCTTTAGTGGAGTTATACAAGAATTTAAACCTACCATATTCATTTGACTCTTAAGAGTTTGTTCATTCATTTGTTCAAGAATAGGTGAATACCATGTGTTATGCTAGGAATCAATAGTGTGCTCCATAGTGCTTTGAGTTGTTTTGTTGAAATTTATGTCTCCACAACAAGAATAAATGCCTCAGCCTCATCACAGAGTATGGCCCCTACAGAGTTAATTAATAAAAGGCTATTAATTAATGTGACTCAAATCTTTAAAAATGAACTGCTTCATCCACTCTTTAGTGCTGCTTCTGTAGGAAACCACAAAGTTCCTGTCATGCCCTACAAAATACATGTGGCCTGAGTGAAGTGAGGTGGAGAAGAGGAATACCGAAAGGAGCTTGAAAGCAATAGATTTAGCAGATCAGCAGAATAAGGTATTGCACCCAGAATTTAGAAAAACAGTATAGACTTCATGGCAGCACCAATACTCAGTTTATGGAAAGATGACTTGGGCACTTAGTTCAAAAAGAGATGGACTTTACTAAGTTTGCTAACTATCACATGAAACAAATGTGAGAGAGTTGTAAAAGTATGCATTCTCAAGGAAATAAATCCACATTTCAGAAATGTATGTGTAAAAAACATAATTTTGAAGCAAAAAGGATTGACATCTCCATATCATTTAAGGCTCTGTTATTGTTCATTTTACAGGTATTAAAACTAAGTCACAGTCTAATAAAAGAATTTACGGGGAAAAAAAAGAAAAGAAAACTAAGTCACAGAAAAATTAAATGTGTTGCATAAGATCAAGCAGAAATTAAACAGTAGAATTCATGTTTGAAATCAAGCAAGATGAATTCAATGTCTCTTCTCTAATCACTCTATTTCCTGTGTATGAGAAATTATAATTGCTTTGAGACACATCACGTGCTTAATTTTTTATGATTTTTGAATATTTTGTGATAGATTTTTTTAAAGAAAACAAGACGGAAGTCAGAGGGAGGTTATGAATTCATTTTTTTTTTGCCCAAGATCATATAGACAAAAAAAGTCAAATTTCATTCTCCACTGATACACTTCTATCTGTAGTAAATGCTCAAAACTTAACCTTCTTTCCTGCCCTAATTTCTTCAAGAAGTGTTGTAATCATAGAATCGAAACTCCCTAAACTGCAAAGAATGTGAGCAGCTGTCCACAGGCAGCCACTGACTTTGCAGAAAGAGCATGAGGCTGAGGAATTATTGCCAAGATCACACAAGCATCTGGAGTAGACCTAGGGTTGAATCGGTGTCTGCTTAGAGGGATTCCAGTAATATTTCTAATTTCATTTTATAAATAGTGGGAGGATTCTTCTTTTTCATAGGAATATAATAAAGATGTAATAAAAATGTATATGAAACCAATTACTGTTTCTTGCAAAGGGGAGATATTTAGCAAACAATTAATTTCTTCTTTTTCAGCAGTGGGATATATAAGAAGGAGAAAAATTAAGAGTATTCAAATATTCAAGACTCTCTAGTACTTAGACTCTGTCAAAGTTTTAGCTCCTCCTCACAAATTATGTTACCATCCTTTAGCAGGTATTTGGTGATTGTGAATTTTCAAATTAGTAAAGTATGCAGGTTGAATTTAATGAGTTACTTTCAAACCCTGCTCAACACAGAAATGGCAGGAAACCTGGGGGAGAAGTGCACTAGGGTATGACCAGAGAATATGGTTCTTTTTCTACTTTGAATTTCAGTCTCTTTTCTACTTTGTATGCATAGACTTTATATATAGTATTTTTAAGCTTTTTGTTTATTTTCTGGTTGTCTTAAAATATGGCTTCAAACCCTGTTTTCAAGTGGATTACATGATACAGAAAGAAAACTCAGACAATATTCTCATCTTGAATACCCTACTCTGATCCCGTAAGATGGTGTGTCACCATCTCTAGCTTCTGTCCACCTGCCCAGATAATTCTGTCTTCTACTAATCTGTCTTTGGTCACACTATAACTCAGGATCACAGGAATCCAACTTGAAAGTTTTCTCTCCAGGCTCACTGCTCTGTATCTGAAACTCACACATTCTATAATTTTAGTTTCTTGTTTTTAAACCAATCTTGTTTACCCGCTTCTTACCCCTTCTGTAAAACTTCTAGCCTTAGTTTCTCTTGTTTCCTTCAGAATTGAGCTTCCCCTCTAAGAGACGATTTTGATAAAATGCTTGTTTACGACCTTTTTTCCTTCCACCTTGTAGCATTTTGTCCCCAGTACTTTGAGAAGTGGAGACCATAACTCCTTTCTACCTACATGTTCCATCTGAATGTTTGCAATATATTTGACTAATAATCTGATTGATTATTTTATTGATGCTTACTTTGACTCTGACAAGATGAATGACCAAACAGCCAATTCTCACAGTTACTCAGAATATGGATTACAAAGAGATCATAAGGGTCCCCTCCAAATTGTCCTGATCCTGTCACTGACCCTCCTCACAGCTTCCTTCACATCCTTGTTGCGAAGGGTATAGATGATAGGATTGAGAAATGGAGTAAGGAGGGTGTACACTAAGGCAATAAGCTTGTCAGTGCCCTCAGCTTGGCTCCCTGGTGAACCCACATATACGGTGAAGGCAGAAGCATAGAACAGTGCCACTACACTCACATGGGAAGAGCAGGTAGAAAAGGCCTTGGCACGACTGGCAGCTGAGGGCAGCTTCCACACAGCTCTCAGGATGCCTCCATAGAGTCCCAAAATAAGCACAAAGTTGCATCCAGTGGCCACACCAATCACTGCCCCATGGACTTGAGAATGCCAGCCTGTGTCCACGCAGGCCAATCGCATCAGGGGTGCCAGGTCACAGAAATAATGAGCTACTTCCTTCAAGCAGTACTGTACAGTGGCAGTGAGGCTGGTTGGCACAAGTGCAGCTGAGAAGCCAGCCATCCACGTGGCCCTTGCTAACCATTGCTGTACCTGTCTACTCATGAGTGCATGGTAGTGGAGTGGGTGACAGATGGCAAGGTAGCGGTCCAGTGCCATGACACACAAAAGGTAGCACTCACTCATGCCCAAGGAATGGAAGACATACAGCTGTGTGAAGCACAGGGCTGAGGAGATGGGTGAACACCCATGGAGCAAGGTGTGCAGCAGGGTGGGCACCGTGGTGCTGACATACCAGAGCTCCAGGAAGGAGAGCACACTGATAAAGAAGTACATGGGTGTGGAGAGCCCAGAATCTGCCTTAACCAGGACAATGATGACCAAGTTCCCTGCAAGGGTGAGAAGGTAGATGCACAGGGTTCCTGTGAATGCCAAATGTCGTAGCATCCCAGAGCTATTGAAACCAGCAAGGATGAATGTCTGGGTCCAGGTGTGGTTGACATGATCCATGAGTCCTAGCAACAAAGTTTAAAGGCAGAAGATGAATGACTTCAGGATTCTTTCTGTGTTCAGAATATTCCCAGTACCATGGACCCCAAACGTGAGCACCTGAAAGAACTTCAACATTTTCTCATAAATTCATCATTTTACAATGGAAGAATTACAGCTCCAAAGCAAAAAATGGTTGTCTTATATCATAGCAACTATGGGTGACTATTTTAGATTTAGAAAGGAAAGCTCCTCATCCCAGTTTATCCTCTTTATAATATTTAATTTTAGAAATTCAAGCCACTGAGTTTCTTTTCTATATTGTTATTATAAAAAGGAAAGTGGGAAAATTTCTACATCTCTCCCTCATATTGTTCCCAGCAATTCCTGGTTATGGTAAAGGAAACAAAAATGTCATCTAAAAGTGACCACTGAGGTCACTCTCAGTAAGTCCATCTATGGTGGAATATGTAGAGTATTTTAGTTAGAAGTAGAAAATGAAGATACAAGAAATGAAAGTAATGCAAAAACTCTGAGAGTGAACCCTAAATTCTCACACTGTACTTTCTAAAATGATTCCCAAAAAGACTTATGACAAAGATTCTCAAAGAGAAAAATTATAGATTAGATCCCCTGGGCAATCCTTTTTCCACAGTCAGGGATTGTCTGTGTGATCTTGCTTTGAAACTAACAAACAATCCACATTAGCTTGAGGAACTTCTCCCTTAACCTCAGCTTCCTCTTCCCTAAAATAAAAGAAGATTTAAGCAGTTACTTTTCAAAACTCTTACAACACACATAAGTTATAGCTCCCTAAAGTGATTTAAAAAACATTATAGGTTTTGGAGGGGCATTGATACCAACTTCCTCTGAGTTCTCCTGCCATTCCTAAGAAAACCACCAGGAAAGGTTACAGCCCTCTCCCAGTTCCCTTCTTCAGCTATTTTCAGTTCTGCATCATCCTTGCCCATTACCTGACTATTATTAGAACTTGTAGCATCTTCCTTGATAACTCTTCTATCCCTGCTTCTTTATACCTCACCTTCCGGAAAATGCTGGTGTCTCTGAGGTTCCTTGTTGTATATTCCCTGGAGCTATTGAGTGTGAGTAGCTCTCAGTCTGGATCCCTCTGGGGCAGGGGCACAGGGAAGTGAAGCAAAACAACTCTATTTATCAAATGACTCTGCACCACTCCTCAAACAGTCTGATGTTTCCATCTAGAAACTCACGGTTTGGCAATAGGGGAAATAAAGAATGTTACAGTTATAAGTAAAGAAAGCAGGACATTAAAATGTCAACATTTCATAATATCATTGCAAATATTTGAATAAAGACTTTTATGGGAATAGATTGAAAAGAGAGGAATAACTGTTTTATATTAATTTTCTATGTGACACTGAAACATTTTATCTAAATATCCTATATTATGGACATAATCAATTGCAGTATCATTTCCTAAGAAAATACATGAGTTTAAGTTTAGAAAAGGTGATATAAAGCACAGCTAAAAGAGTCTGAAGAGAAGAAACATCACAGTGATTCTGTAATTTATTAATTATATCTATAGAACACCTTCTTTATTCCAGACAGTATATTAGGGAAAGCATAAAGTGTAGAAAACATAGCTTTTTTTCCTCAAGATGTTTAATTTTTAGTGAAATAGATCCAAAAATAGGCATTTATTAAACAACAAAGACGTGTAAATATGCAAAAAAGATAATGGAAGCAAATCAAAGATGGAGAAAGGGGAGGGTCATGAAAAAAGGAATTAAGATGTGTTATGGACATGTACCAACTCTACACAAGGAATGTAAACATTATGTACTGCAAACATGTACCCAACAAAAGGAAAGGGGTCAAGAGAGAGATAGAGGTGGGAAGAGGAAAGGGAAAGGAGATTAAGAAAGGAATTAAGATGTGTTATGTACTCGTACCAATTCTCCACAAAGAATGTAAACATTGTGTACTACAAACATGCACTAATAAAGAAAAGATATTCAACCTAATCACAATAAGGTACATGCAATTGTGATACTTTTCTTACTTTTCAGATTGACAAAGATAGAGACATTTAAAAAAATACTTGGATGGGGGGTCTTGAAGGAAACAGACATTTTCATGAATTGCTTATACGAATACAAAATAACATACTTTGGGTGAAAAGTTAGCAATACTCAAGAAAATTACACTTCATTTGTAGCTATCATCCAATAATAACTGGATTTTTAGGGATTTACCTTGCTGATATGTATGTGCAAATATATGAAATACATACCAAGGTTATTCATTGCAGTTGTATTTATAATACCAAAAGCCTGGAAGCAACCCAAGAACTCTTCTATAGGGGACTGGTTAAAAAAACAATGGAATACTAGAGAGCTGCTCACCAAAATGAGGAGACACCTCCTGGGATGATAAGAAAATATTTCCAGGGAGCACATAAAGATACACTGAAGAGCTATAGGAAACACTAGAAGGACCAGGATTCCAAGGAATGGGAAGGGACAATGGGAATTTGAAAAACACTATTTGACATGGATTACTTTAATTTTTTATAATGTGGATGTATTATCTATTGAAACAAACATGTTAATTTTAAGCATACATGTTAACACCATGACATAGTATGATGATATATCCTGGTTTATTGAAAAGAGTTCTGGTCAATGCCTGTTGTCCAGGAGAACCATTAATATTCCCCATTTCATTCCTGAAACTATTTGGATTTCAGTTGGATAGTAAGCTACATGAAATTCCTAGATAGAAGAATGTTATCTTTGATGCTTGTGCAGTTTATGATCTAAATGTGTATGTACACTTAATTATAATTCTGTTACATAAATTATGTGTAATATGTAATTTCTACCCTTTAGGAGTGATAAAACTGAGGTCAACATAGAAGGAAAAGGTCAAAGACTTAGTTCTGAGGCATCTACCCTATCAACCTCCCACACACTGAATACAACAAAAATTTATATTTCCCATCCTTTTGGAATCTGATAAGCCAAAGATTAATGTGCCAGTTAATTCAGTGTCTGCTGAGGTTTTGCTTCCTGGATCATAGAAGGCCATCTTTCCATTATAAATTCTAGGGTCTCCTTTTAAGAGCACTGAAGCCATTCATAAGGACTGTGTCCTCATAATCTAATCATCTCCCAAAGCCTCACCTCCAAATACCATCACACATCTAAGATTGGATTTTAACGAATGAATTTTGAAGTGCTAAAAATTAGGCTAAGAGCACACTCCAATGTGTTACATTGATGCAGTGCTTCTCACTTCTTTTCATCATAGCAACTAAAAGAAAGTGATAATATTTGTATGATACACCAAGACTAACAAGAGGACCACTTGCTGACAAATGTACCCTGCCTAGGTGTCCTCAGGCTCTTCGGTCACTCAAAGAGCAAGGGGCAGAGAGGTCAATGGCTCAACACATCTGATACCTATATTAACTGGGAAGCTCTGAATAAAAGATTGCAATATAGAAAAGAGATGAGTTGAAATTAATTTAGTGACCTAACAAATGGGAATGAATCCTGGTGGGGTTACAAGAAGAATTCTTAATCTCTGTCAACCACCTTTAATCCTAAAGTCCATTCATCCATAAATGGATGAATACACTGGGCACTGTATGAGAGATGTATGACAAGTATATGTTGCTTTGAGTTATTAGATGATGATTTATGTCACTACACAACATAGCCCTCAGAGCAATTGCCAGTGATTCTTTTGGATTGCCACCAGGGAATGTTATGTTCAAGTAGTATTTTGTTGTTCCTATAATCATTCCTCAATTAAGGTAACTGCAATGTAAGAAGACAGAAAGAATAGGAAGACAATAAAAACCCAAAAGTTATACATTAATGAATAGTATCAATTTCACTAAGGCAGGGAGAATATTCCAGGGTGACTTACTTGCTTGCTTGCTTTATTTGTTTGTTTATTTATTTATTTGAGGTTTGGTTTTTTTTTTAGACAGGGACTCTTTATGCAGTTCAGGGTGACTTTAAACACCCCGGTACAAAAGAGATACTTTATTTTTGGATTTTTACCAGTTTTATGGACCCATACATGACAAAAATGTGAGACATGTATAAAACTAGGGATGAATTCTTGTTGTAGATATTTATGTGGAAAATTTTCAAGTTACATCAATTTCATATGGAGTATTTGTTGTTTTTAATGTATATACAATTTATCCCTTACAAGAATTGTCTGAAAAATATTCTATTGCCTTTGTTTCACAAAAGAGGAAACCTAGAAGGAGCATGGTTAAGTAAATGATGCAAGAATTTACAGCAAGAAAATGGTAGAGATAAAGATTGCACAAAGGTGATAAGACCCACAGTCCATTTTCTAAACATTATGTTGTCTTGTGACTAAAATGAAAAGGTGACTACTTTAGGAGCCATTCGGGGCTTCAGAAACAGTGTCAGGCACTTTGCATGTTTTGTTCTTTTAATCTCTATAGGACTGTGAAGTTCTCTATAAATCTTGAAATATAAGAAAACAACCAAAGAGTGGCCAAGTTTTTGCCCAGGATGAGTGGCAAAATTTAAATTTAGACCAACATATTTCCTATGTTTAGGATATTCAGATCTCACCTATCTGGGCCCAGTTCAAGCCCTGATTCCTTTTAGAGCTACTACAATCAAATTTCCCTGGAAGAATGTGAGCAGTCATGCACTGTCAGTCATGTTTTTTGCAGACAAAATGAGGCTAACAGTGCATCACTGAGGTCATCCAGCCAGGTTGATTCCATGTCTCTTTACAGTAAGTGTAGAAAGATTTTTATATTTATTATTTATAAATCAAGATGGTCCTTTCTTAGAAAGGAGGTATAAAGATTATTATGGTATGAATAAAGCATGAAGATTATAAAGGTATAAAGAAGCCATGAAGATTAACAAGGTATAAAGAAAATATAAATATTGTAAAGATATAAACACTGTAAAAGTATCAAAGCAGTTGACAACTACTGGCATAATCCAGAAATATAAAAGTCAAGATTTGATGAG